AATAACGTGAACACAACTGCTGTAATCCCTCTGCAAACACAACTGATTAAAAATTTCGGCACGTGCCGAGATCCCGTAACGTGAACGTAGTAGATATAGCATTACTACTGCGATTACTTACACCTCCATGTGTAAAGATGTAACTAGGAATAACACACAACTTCCAGTCCCAGTTATACCCACTGTAAAATACTATATTTTTGTCAATAAATATGAATAAACTACTTTTCCGAAAATATAAAGACAACAACTGTATATTCACACGGTAGTTTACAATCCCCTTTAACTAGTGTACCTCTATTTACTTCTTAGGTATAAAGACTTGAATATGGATCCAGATGGCGATGGTAAGCACCTGGAATTGCCGTGATTCGATAACCGTTGATCAATATCATTATTGCCTCCATCAGTTCATTGAGTCTATTGAAGTTTCTCCGCCGCGATATAGTGTCAGGTTTTGCCTACTCGATTCAGCAGACGAATATAGCTGCCAAACCATTCAAATAGAGTTTCGATTTTACTATCGAACCGTTAATTGATTTCGCTCTCAGGGGAGCGATTCGCTCGGGGGAAACGAGATTGAGTGGAAGATTGGTGTCACAGGGGGTTGTGACGCGAGTGAATTATCGTTAGGGTTTGTTTTTTTTTTCGCGTGAAGAACAACGTTTGCATAATGCAGTGTAAGCCATTTATGCTGTGACGTCAGCTGAAATAAAATATTGCAATCATGAAGTTTTATGAGTTTATGAATGGATTATTTGTATTCGCTGTTGCCATGCGACTAGAATTCTAATGGTGAATTTCACCTATTTAAATACTGGTCATCCATGATTGTTAAATATCAACAGTCCAATGTCATGTGACTGAAATAAAACATCTGGAATACAAGTAGAAGTGGCCAATTTAAAGGTTTTTAAATGAGTGATGCTTTTGTTGGTAAAACAGTTTCTGCGTAATAGTAATCTCACTCAGGCTGTTAGTGATATTTTACATTTGTTTCATTTGTAGACTTACTCAACGTCGGTGAGTTTGTATCGGTCAACGAGTCCCTGATCCGGGACTGGCTTGACGAAAGAACTGAAAGAGGTGGGGCGAACAAAGTACGACACAGCAAGCAGACGTGGTTACAACAGTCATCTACAAACGACTCTGTTTTGAATATATTGAGAGAAAAGTAGGTTAAATTGCATTTTCCCCCAGCCTCTGGGCGTATTTAACTAATTACAGATGTGGTGTTAATCATGTAGATGTCGGATTTAGTAATAAATCACTGTAACAGTTGTCGTCGAGAAAATAACACACACAAAAAACAGATTATTTTTAAATTGTATGTGAAATTATAGAAAGCCTTCGGAATTATCATGAACACACTCAAGGCTAGACTGCAAATCAATTAGTATTATACCGTCGTGTTTTACATAACATCGGAATGTTCTGGTCGACATCCACGGCGGATGTTTACAATCTCCGTAATGGGTTTCTTCTTTATTATCACCAGATTTGAAGCGAAACTGTCCGATGGCATGAGACAGTTTCATCTCTTAATTGCGGTTTTTATTCAAACTAATGGATTTTTTCAATTCTCAGGGTCATTAATCTCACTGGTTTACCGAAGAATGTGATTGAGAACAGTGAACAACTGCAGGTAAGCTTAATCCGTCCGTTCGTGTGCTTATTTTTTTTGAGGGCGCTGTGCGGACTTGTATTTAATATTCGGGCTACATTTCGGACCATAGGCAGAAAGTATTTGATGTGATATTTGCCGTCTTTCGTGTTTAATATCATACCTGTATTACTTCTGTGGCAAGGATACGCCGTATATGATGGTGCGTCGGACCCTGCGTGTTTTTGTTGGCGCGCCGGTTAAATTTTCAAGTTTCTGTTTATTTTTTATCAGCTCATTCATACACACAATGCCCCATCCCTTAAGTTGTTCCTTTAGTACATGGAGCGTATTTGTGGCACCGAAATGAAGTATATGGGTGATAACAAATCGACAACTATGTTGGCTGTGTAGAATTTCGTCGTCTAGAACAAGTAAAACCTTAGAACATTATCTTCTGATGGACGTCTAAAGTTCAAAACGACATCGAGGCTTTGAGTGGTCTTCGCATCCATCACATCATAGGCGTTCCGTCGCTAGATGGCGCGCTTTATAGGGAAGGTGTATTGAGCCCAACAACTACTAGTTTTTCGCTTCACTCCAGATCAATCATTCCCCTGTCAAATAGTGTGGTAGTGAAAAGAAGGACATTTGGAAGATTGTTGTTGTTATTGTAACCCGCCTGGGTACGAACATGAATAAAAATGGCCGAGTTCTGATGACGTACTCGGCCAACCGTATCACGTAACACCGAAACCACGAACAGGTCAATTTGTGTATAGGCATTCCCAAATAAACAGCTTTGATTTAGTGCAATTATACATGTCAGTATAGTGTAATATATTGGGATTTAGAAATAGCTCGAGTATTCGTGTTGATGCTATAGTCTTCCCTTCTCTGTTAGGTGGTTTATTACGAGTTAGGCGGCCATTACCACGCTCACTACGATTCAGAAGACGTTATCAAGCATGAGAATGCCACATGTGGACAGATGGCGTTTAATTTTTCTGACAATGATGAAATGACGTATAGGTTATGTAGGTAAGGATGGTGTTAGTATGCATACACATTGTCACGCGATACAAGTTTAACATGTAGATAGCACGACACGACACTTGTTCTGGTATCGTGTACAGATTTGCATATTCGAATGATGTAATTGTCTCATAATCGTTAATGCAATCTCCCATAACAGTGCAGCCCATATAACTATTAAGTTCATATTTAACATCATACGGAGAATGCAGAAACAAAGGATGTCATGTTGCTGAGACAGAGGTTATTTATTTAGTGTTAAAAATGATCGATGATTGGCATAATAATCTTAATCAACTTGTGTGTGTATACATTTCTTGGCAATAGGTTCATGACGATACTGTACTACTTAAATGACGTGGAAGAAGGCGGCGAGACTGCATTTCCCATTGCCGATAATGAGACGTTCACGACCGAGGTAAAGACTGGACTAATAATTACCCTGGCACAGCCAGCTTTGATGTGTATATATATAATTTTCACTTGGCAGGAGGCACAGGTCTTTTTTCTCGCAGATGTCGATGCACGTTTATTTATATGAATGTGTTTGATATAGAATATATTTCTCGCGTAACTTGTCTGCAAAAAGTTTTGCCCGTAGCTGTGTCACACGCAACGTAATATTACCGTAATTGGTATAGTACAGGTGTGATGGTTCAAATACCAAAATGGCAACAGTAACAGAATGACTTCCCTGGTGGCGATGATAAAATACGAACACGGAGCCAACAGATGAGGTTTCAACTGGTACTGGTATTATTATTCTCTGCAAACATCAAGTACAATAACGCGGTAAAACTTCACTACTCCAATAACTAGATACTTAAACTCCAATACAATTCAACGAGATCTCCGATCTGAACTCAGTGCTGAACAACTCCCCTATATATACCCACACTGTCTATAAATAGACCATTACATCAGCATACATAATGAGTCTGGAATTTACTATAAATTTCTAGAATGTTCCATTACCTTCTATTGCCTCCTACAGTGTTCTATTACCTCTTCAACCAGTTTCTAAAAAAAAATCTAGAATATTCCACCCAGACACAGTACGGTTCTAGAACATTCTCAGTGACACGGAAGTGGTAAATAAGTCGTATGCGACAAGCTGTAAAGACGCAAAATGGCCGAGAACGTGTAATTTTTAGTATAGATAATCCTTTCTTCGCTCGGGTTCATTTAAATATGCAGTTAATCTTTGTTTTATTTATAGACACTGCGAGCTGCCGGAAATAAACTGTATGACCTAAGTAACCACTGTAAAGATTCCAATATCGTCGTGAAACCTGAGAAAGGCAAAGCAGTGATGTGGTACAACCACATTATCGATGAGGAAACTGGTAAGCAATATCAAGACGACCAATTCCGGTGGGAGGTAGCACTGCAACATGTTTTTTTTCTAGCGCAGGCTACGTAATATCGATATTTCTATGTGGTGGTTAATTTAAAATTCCGTCGTTTTAGACGTAAAGCCCAATCAATTCCAGGGCTAGCTTCACTTTCATCTCTGTATCTGTAACATTCGCATATTAATTGTCGTACTTGTAATCTGAAAATGTAACTGTATTCCCAGGTTGGATGGGTGATATGGACAATTTCACTCTCCATGGCGGTTGTGATGTTCACACCGGTCGCAAATGGATCGCCAACAACTGGATCAACGTGGCAGACACGCCACAGGAACAAGCCGCGTTCGATAAATACATAGTCGAAGTCTTCAGAAACGAAACTGCACAGAAACTTGAAGAGGAAAAGAAGAAGAAGAGCGCAGATGAACCCGTCAGCATCGATGCTCCGCCACTCAATATTAATGATGCGTTTCCCGGGAAAGATATTCAAATTGACAACAAAGAAGAACTGTGATTTGTGATCGCAAATGTTGTAGGTGATGTGGGAACGAGGCATGGTTACTATATTAAACTTTGCGCCCTGTAAGGCCTGCCTTCCCAGTGTGCTTATGTTTTATACACCCCATTATATGAATGTGGTCATAGCCAATCAAAAAGTGTAGGCAGTCCACCATGTCCAGCACAGCACTAAGTTAATACACATTTTGGCAATAACCACATTCACGCGCTAATCTCGTAT